AAGGCCAATGGCATTTTGGGATGTATAAGTAGGGGCATTGCCAGCAGATAGAGGGATGTGATCATTCCCCTCTATTCAACACTGGTGAGGCCTCATCTGGAGTACTGTGTCCAGTTTTGGGCCCCACACTACAAGAAGGATGTGGAAAAATTGGAAAGAGTCCAGCGGAGGGCAACAAAAATGGTTAGGGGACTGGAACACATGACTTATGAGGAGAGGCTGAGGGAAGTGGGGATGTTTAGTCTACGGAAGAGAAGAATGAGGGGGGATTTGATAGCTGCTTTCAACTACCTGAAAGGGGGTTCTAAAGAGGATGGATCTCGACTGTTCTCAGTGGTAGCAGATGACAGAACGAAGGAGTAATGGTCTCAAGTTGCAGTGGGGGAGATTTAGGTTGGATATTAGGAAAAACTTTTTCACTAGGAGGGTGGTGAAACACTGGAATGAGTTACCTAGGGAGGTGGTGAGATCTCCTTCCTTAGAAGTTTTTAAGGTCAGGCTTGACAAAGCCCTGGCTGGGATGATTTAATTGGGGATTGGTCCTGCTTTGAGCAGGGGGTTGGACTAGATGACCTCCTGAGGTCCCTTCCAACCCTGATATTCTATGATTCTAGGTCTAGATTTCGTGGGGGGGGGGGGGGGGGGGGGAGGCTCTGTTTCATTGCGAGGGAGCTTGCTTGCCCTGTTTCCATAGCAATACGGCACAGGAAACAGCACCAAGAAAGCGCAGGATGTATGTAGGTCATAATATCAGTGAAGATAAGAAAGTTGGGGCAACTGTCTGGGATTCTATCAGACACCTGTTTAAAGAGAATATAAACGGCAAGCTTGAAACAGGCGGAATGATTCAGACACATTGAGCAAATAGAGACCCACAAAGGGCACGTGGAGATCCAGACCTGGGGGGGGGGTAAGGGGACGGGAAGTGTGGGGGGGGGGAGGGATGAACAGCAGCGGCTAAAAATGTCCATAGTTCTTAGAGATTCGTTGTCACACAATGAGACGCCTTCGCTTATCTCCCTTCCCGTATAATGGTGCAACACACGCACTGGTACCTAAACTGGACTCTCGTACAGGCAACACTTTCGGTTTAGGAAGGTAGCTCTCAATCTGTGCAGAGCAGCGAAGGTAAAATGTCTTGGGGAAATAGCCTTTGATCAGGACTGTGCCATTGACCCGGCGGAAGCGGTGAACCGACGGGTGTTTGAGCCCCTCCCACCTTTCTCCCAAGTAGTGCAATAAACAGGAAACGGGGCGTCCCAAACTGAAATCGAACCTATCTGGGGTGCTAACAGAGCAGGCTGGCTGCTGACTGCAATGCAGAACTTACAGGTAGGTCTCCGGCAGGGTGGAAGGGGCCAGCTTTCCTGCACCTGAGAGTGCCCCTTGGCCCAGCCCAGAGCATGTTTTCGTGATCCAACGTGAAAGTACATACTGCTGTTAAAGCACAAACTGCAAACAAGAGGGTTAAGAGACGGTGCGGGGGGGGGGGGGGGGGGGGAACTGAGCCAAACATAACAAAGAGTTGCCTAAATAAGAGAGGAAAGCATTCTTTGATCAGCATTACAAGGTTTAAACATGTGTCATCGGAGTGGTTTGTGTCAGAAACCACAAGACTGAGGGCTGGCGTGCGTTTAGGCAGGGAACACTCAGCTACAATTACAGGCTTTGTAACGCCATAAAAGCGTACGGCGTGCCTACTTTTGAGATCAAATGTTAACCTCCCCCTCCACCTGCAAGTACAGAATGTCAGTCAGAGGGGCAGCCCCCTGGCCACTGCATTTCAGAGCAGAGATGGGGGACAGCTTCCGTGGGAGAAGGCTGAAATAGGGACATGCTTTCTGCTTCTCTCTGCAAAACCACCCCTCACTGGCAAGCCATAGTAAGGAGGGAGTACTAGTGCGAAGAGATTGCCGACAGGGAAAAACTCCCCCAGTCGACAAAGAGAACTCCATTCCCAGAATCGAACCTGATCAGAGGAAGTCATAGAGGAAGGGTGGGAGGGGAGGAAACCTACTTAGAGATAGCCGGAAGGGGAGATATATTATTTATGACCTTATTCCTCTATATAATTTGCTGAATTAGGGCCTGATCCAAAGCCCACTGAAATAAATGGAAAAACTCCCACTGGCTTCAATGAGTGTTGGATCAGACCCTTATAAAATAATCCTGCCGCCCTCTCTAGGTGAGACACTTTAATCCCCCTGGTGCTGGTTCTCATGCCACAATAAATGGGTGTACTGTGATATGACACGGACACAATCCCTCCCTTGCAAGACAGAGAGCATCTAGCGATCTGTCAAAAGAATACTATGTCCCGATGGAACCTGCTCTTTGGTCTTCTGTACAAATTCACACACACAGGGAAGTCGGACCTTGTCAGTTACATAATAGCTGTCTCATTAATATCAGGCTCTTTTAAAGTCTTTAATTTGCTTGAACAGCAAAGGGAGGAGGAAGGGAGGCCAGAGAGAGAGAGAGTTTTGTGGTGGCTGTAGGAGGGCAAGCAATATAGGCCAGGACAATATGCCCCCAAACTAAGAATTTTAGCATGCCTCTTTTGCACCTCCTTGTGACCTGTGCAATAGTCCCACAGGCTCTGGGAGGGGAGGGGGAGCAATTCGACTACAGTGGAATGCTGTTTAAATTGGTTTTGAATCTGTGTGTCTGATTTACAGGAGCCATATTCGGCTAGTTCCCCTTTAAACTTGTAAAGTGTGAGCTCTACCGTTTGATTTCTTTTTCAGGGTTGTCCCATCATACCTCTAGCGGCAACAACACCCCTACCCACTTGGTGTAGTTTTCTTTATGGGAAGTATCTCGGAGAGGAACTGACTTTTCGGTGCCTGCAGAAAAGCATGGGTGGTGCAGCAGGCAAAAATATAAATAGAGCTGTTTTCATGTAGCAGGGATTTCCTATTGCGGCAGCCCGGGCACACAGACACACCCCCAGTGCAGCAGCCTCATCGCAGGGCTGCTACAGCATTTGCTCAACTGGGCTTTATGACGAAGATGAGCCAGGGGGACTTGATGACGGGCATAAAAGGAGAAACCGAGGAATCTTTACAACACTTTACAACAGTCTCTCTCTCTCTCTGGGTTGGGGAAGAAATGGGCAACTACCTGATTGATGAGCCAGAGAGACAAACACAACCTCGGGAACCAAAAGCTGTTATTTCAGAGGTGGATTTTCCCCCAAAATTCCGGGTCTGAGCCCTTACTCCCTTGTGATACGCATATATCTCCAGATACTGTTTTAGTCACAATAAACACAGCGTGGCATGGTAAGAGACAGCCTATTCGGAACATAGGGGCGAAACCTTGCTAACCAAACTCTAACCCATTGAAATCAATGGGATCAGTCCCCTACGGTTGAGAGGGCAGGATCCGGCCCCAGAGCATTCATCCTCACCATTTTGGTGGCTTCTAACTCTCCTCATACAAAAAACAATCCGAAGCGTGCATATGCTTGTGAGTGGAGCAGTGAAATGCAACTAGGTAATGTTCAGATGGGAATGGAAAGTGCCTATGAATGACAATATTATGACTGGTGTGACTTCAGACTCCGCATGTATACACTCTGCGTTACAACTGTGCCATTAGGGTGTTCTCCCCCCACCCCCGCTGTGTAGATTCCCACCCCAATCCTGCCTTTGATGTGACCCATCACAGTATCCGAGACAAAGAGGCACATTTAGAACGCGGAGATTCGGGGCCTGATCCTCAGCTGAGATAAATCGTCATCACCCCATCGACTTCAATGGATGTCCCTCGATTTACACCAGCTGAGGAGCTGTAATACTCATTACTTCTGGCGGGTCGCCCCTGTGGTTTGGGATCCCACCTACCGTTTCCCGCAATCACATCTTCGCCTCTCGGACCTGCCTCCCTCCCTCCATCTCACTCTCTCCCTTTCACTTTTACAACCATTACTTGAGCCCTTCGGTCTCCCCACTGATATGAAAGTTTCAAAGATAACATCTGCTTCAAACAACCTGCTTGTCAACAGCTCCAAGCGCCCGACTCTTCCTCTCCCCCGGGCCAGCTCTTGGGGACATTTAGACAGAGCTGTACGCGCAAGTCGCTACTTCGGGCACAACAAAGGGAAACTAAGGGCGGCAGCAGCAGCAGCAGCCGATCACCGAGGCTGGGTCATAAATTAACTGGACCATCGTCTGCCCACCCCCAACGCGTGGGTTTTTAAAAGTCCTCCCGTCCTGAGCGTTCCGGTGATCACAGCTGTAGGTGAGCCCGCGAGGTAACAGACTGTCTCTAAGGCTTATCACGGTTTGTACCCCCGCATTTTCCGAACCTTGGTTTGAGGCAAGGGCCTGTCGGGGGAATCACCTCTTCTCCCCACCCGTTCCCCTCCCAGTGCCTGACAAATATTTGCTACCTTCTTTTAACCAGCATCGGTAAATACAGTGTCCTGCGGTGTGAAAGCAAAATCCCTTTGATGGGCGAGGGCAGGCAGGATCGTTCCCTAGCAGGTAACAGCTTTCAGAACTGGCGAAATAAACATGCCACGTCTGTAGGCGGGAGTGACACAGAGCCCAGAAAATGCCACGCTCCGCTGGAATGCAGCAGTTACATAAAAACGCCGTGGATACTTCTTAAAACATGCGAGGGAGTCTGCAATCAGGGTCCCGCGCCCCTCTTTCACCGCTATCCCATTGTAGCCTTGTTTCTAGGGTTATTACTATAATGGTCATTCAGAACAAATCGCTGTCTGGTTGATGCAATTGCTTTCCGTCCTCCCTCTAGCTACTACCCCCTTGGCGCCCTCCCCACGCCCGATCCATTTAGCAAAAGTTTCCTTTTGCCAGGACAGATTTTCTACTGGAAAACAAAATGCAAGGCTCGATTATTAATTCTTATTTAAAAAAAGATCCTCGCGCGGGCTTTCTTACAACAGCCGCAGCTGAATTCCAAGTCAGCCCAGCGAGGCTACAGGAAATAAAGACAAGACCAAGGGACAGCCAACGCAAAGGTATCCTTACCTGTAATGCAGTCACGAGAAGTTGCATCCTCCCCCGCTGCCGGCGATTTGCTGGAAAGGGCGATTGGGAAGTCCACCCAGCCCTGGAAGCAACGAGCAGACTGCACACAGTCAGAGTCCGGCGGCAGCCTCTTTATCTTTCCCTTCCATATCTTCGACAGGGGGTGGGTCGGCGGAGGGAGGGGGGAAGAGAGACAGATTAGTCGGCGCTGTGATACCGGGGGGGAAAGAGCACCCGTTTGAAAGCTCTGGGCAAGACGAGGTGGTATTGTCCGCGCTGATCGAGTTTGTCACACGCACAAACACGCAGACCCACTCAGCGGCTTCTGGCACTTTGGAGCCTCTGCCTCCGCTCAAGTTTGATTGCTTTTGGTTTTTTGTTTTTTTTTTAAATGTAGAGCAACAGTGCTATCAGACCGGGCTCAACGGTTTCGACGAGACTCCAACATAGCAGAGGCTGGGTCTCTTAAGTGGGTCGGGAATCATTCAGTCTTCCCCCACCCTCCCCAACGCTCCTGGAGAGACAAGGACCGGCTGGGAAGAAGCGCCTAGGTGAACTTCTCTGTTACATTCCCTTGTTAGCAGGGGAGTTCGGCTCTCCAGGCGGCTCCCCCTTGTGCTCTGTGTGTGTTCGATTAGCTGCAACGGGCAGGCAATTTCTGCAGAGAACATTTACAATTTTCTCTCAATACGACAGGATTAGTTGCTGTTGAAGGCTCTCCTCCAATAAGATCAGCACTGCTTTCTGATTTGGCGGCTTCACTGAATAGAAATGACTGCTTCTTGTTATCTCCCTCTTCCCCTCTCCCTCATCAGAAGTCTTTATCTACAATTTGCACATCAGAACCGATTTTTTTTTCAATTACCTTTCCCCCTCCCGCAACACTCCCTCCTTTATTTCTGGTTGCTCTTGCAGTCCCCTGCTAGCTGTAAATCTCAACCAATGTATACCGGAAAAGGAGATCTTGCTTTTAGATTATTGCAACCATATGAGTCTCTGTGCACTGGGGGGCGGGGGGAGAAATATTACACTAAATCCAGTTTCGTTTTTTAAACAGATTATTGTGCTGAAATATTCATGGAATGTTTCCTTGGCACAAAGACAAACGAATTAGAGGAAGGAGATACATTCTGCGAACAACAGTTAATTCTCCTTGGGTGTAAAGCATTCCCTTTTAATTAATAGTCATTAGGCTGAGAAGTATTTACTTTGCTTTAGGGAATTTGCCAGTTCGGGGGAAATAATCTAGCTATAAACATCCTTTAAAAATGTTTGCCTTTCTGGTAATTCGATATTGATTTGTACAGATTTGTGCTATGGGGTGATGATTTTTCCCTTGGGGGGGGGGGATACTGGGTGTGAGGAACTAGAAGAGGGGACGTAATCGGTTCTGTTATCCAAAGAAACAGATCTGGAGAGAGAGAGAGAGTTTGTGAAGGTGACATCGGTGTATGGCTTGGTGTTATGTGCCCCGCATTTTGAGAGTCTAGCCAATAATCCCCATGTTTTATATCAAATAGCTAACCCGCAGTTAGAAGGGCCTGTTGCTTTTAGAATATGATACCAGGCGGTGAAAAGGCGATACAGCACAACCTGAACTGGCTACCATTAGTCCTATTGCCTGGGCCTGTAGATAAATGATCTAAACCAGATTTGAAACCGGTGGCCCTGTTCCCTTATCCTCCGTTCCACAGAAGCCACAGACTTCAATGGATGTGGTTCTCAGGGGGTGCTTGCCCGTTCTGCTAAGCCACCTGCTTCACTAGACCCTGCACTGCTGAATTCGGCTGGTGCCCCTTTTCCTGGAACTATACGGAATACACCAGCACTACGAACAGAGCTTAAAACGTCCAAAGGGACCCAGGACGAGTGAAGACACCTGAAGTTCTTATCGTCGGGACAGGAGAATGTTCACCTCTGGAATCATTTTCATTGGCCAGTTCTTGTTTTAAACAAGGTTATAGATTGTTTAGCCCACCTTGCCTAGGAAGTCAGTGAACTTTGGATTCATTTGGCTGTGGGTATAATATAGTTTTCACTCCTGTCCTGGACACGCTGTCTTGGGGGGGGGGTTAACTGCCGGCTGATGCGCAACTCTTAAGCTGTAAAATATAAAGCATGTCAAAGCAACTGGTGCATATATTCAAATCTCCTCCTGCTTATGTTCTTATACCACTTAGAAAGATTTCCTCTGGCCCCCACAGGAATGTAAGGTAATTCTGAACGAATGGGTTTGATTTTCTTCTCGCCTAAGCCTTAATCCAAAAGTCATTTAAATCAACCTCAGTCATCCCTTTGGCTTCGAACCAGGCACCGGTGTTACTATCATGTAACTCCATGGAGATACTCTTGATTTACCCCAGCAAAAGCGAGCGGAAAGTCAGGCCCTGAAAGTACTCACCCGCCTACATTTCTTGCAACAGTCTTGCTGGTGTAAGCGGAAACAGGTACACCAAACTCTTAAAGTCACATTAGCAGACTCCGAGACCTTGTCGCTTAACATATTTTAAAATGCATTAATCAAGATCCTCATTAGGGGAAAACGGAAAGTACACGCCTCTTGCCTCCCCCACTCCCAGGTGCGTTTTTAATGTTTGATTGTGCCCGTTGATTCCTGTGGAATTAGAGTTCAATTATCATATACACAAATCAGCCTTGCCTAGGGCCAGGCGGATTAAGAGGTGTGACAGCTAGGGCCCAGTTTGAACTATTCTTCCTTCTTGGGTATTTCACTAGCACAGGTGTCTGAAAATGTGCTTCCTTCATTTAATGGGAAGGGAAAAAAAGACTTTTTTTTTTTTTTTGGAGGGGAAGGACACTGCCCTTGTCCCACTACCAGCCCCTCCGAAGTATATTACTTCATAGGGAGACTTTGAGGGCAGTAAGTAGCCTTCAGGATAGGACGTTAGTGGCTCTCACCAGCTACAGGGGGCTCCATACTGATTTAAGCGGGTTCCTATAGACCCTATCACAGCTCCAGCCCAAAGCTGAGATATAGACGCGCGCATCGGGATCGCATTGGATGAGAGCCCTAAGTAATGAAAATGTAACCAAATGACCCCCAAACCTGGCTGGTTTCCGTTCAGTCCAACCCTCCTTCCCCAGAGAAATAAAGAGACGTTGCTGTAAATCGTAGTATATACAAATGCACGTCTTCTTTTTTCTTCTTTCCTGCACGCCGTGCCTAGGGCCTATTAAGACTTCTTGTCTCTGAAATTTATAGTACACAATATTTCTGTCCTAGGGAAATTAGGGGGGTTTCCCGCCTCTCTCTCTAAACTGCATTCATAACCAGTTTTAGCAGATATATCTCGACGACACTCAAAGACTCTTTGGTAAACAATGCCTTTAAACTTTGACAGAGCGTCTGTTATTGCAAACTCCTTTCTTCGGAGCGGTAAATCTGTTTCACAAACCAGCTACAACACATTTGATGCTCCCGAGCCTAAAATATTTGAAATGCAGAACCCTTTCTCAACCAACCACGGGCAAACAAAAACCTTCATCGCCTGCAACCTGTTAAACAGCTGTAGAGGGGACCTGATGTTAATAAGGGGGGCGGGAGCAGTGTAACATGAAGCAGATATTTACTAACGCCAGACTTATCTCTCCCCCCCCAACCCCCCCCCCCCCCCCATGAGCTTAGGGGTGCTGCTGGAGGAGGAAATAAAGTTGGGAAAGTTTCAGTGGCTGTACTGTTCCTAATGTGATTCACCGTATTATCCTATAACTATATGATAGCAGAACCCAGACCCCCAAGGCAGGAGAGAAGCCCCCGGTTATGTTGAGAGCGGGAAAGACAGAGGAGTTTGCAATCTGGATAAATGTCATGGGGCGAGGGATGGAAGGATGCAATCGGATGTATTCACCATGAAGACATTTTCGCAGACCTCCCCATGGCCGTTTTTACTGTATATCCTGTGGGAAGCGGGGGGTATCTTGCACAGGCCTCTCTGCGGGGGTAGTTCTTGCAAGAGCAGAACGAAGTGGTTTGATGAAACTCTGCTCCACAGGGCTTTGCAGCAATTCCCTGATTCCGCGCCTCAGTGAGCACTGAGAAGAAGATCAAATAAGACTTCCAAACCTTCCAAGCCTGACGGGAAACCGGCGTCTCCTCAGTTTTGCAGAGTAAACCGCTCAACTATTACCGTGAGTGCGCACAATTACCCAACCAACAGCACGACCCGGCTCTAGGTGTAACGTAAGGGGTCACTTCAAGGACATACGAGAAATCCCCGTCTTCTGGGAAATGAAGTAACTAGAGGGGAACGCTGCACATTTCTCATCTTGCTTTCCCAGAGGTATTGATACCATTAGAGCATCCAAACCCAGATGAATCCAGGGAGCTCCACTCACGGTATCAGAGTTTCTCCTGGGAGAAAGGGGAACTACATTCTGCTGGCCTCATTCTCGCTAGGAGTCCCATTGCAGTCTACTAGAGGGCAGGATTTGCTCCTCACTGCTTTTGCGGTAAGAAGGAACCTGTCCTAAAGTCTGATCATCCTATCCATCCCGTTTTCAGGTAACCACTATGCTCTCTGTGCATGGGACTAAACTCATGAAGACAGGCTATCAGTGCACTGGTCAAATCACACGTAGAGCGGTCCTGCATGTAACTGATGCATGTCTAAGTGTTAGCGAAGTTTCCCTAGAAAGAGTCTGGGTGGTAAAAGCGGCGCACCTTCACAGCACCGCTGGCAGCAACACCTATGTCTTAACCCCAGGGGCAAAGAGTTGGCACTTCCACTGCTACACTTCATTCATTCGTGTAAACACCCCACTCAGTCATTCCTGTTCCATGGAAGCGCAGGCTCGCCTCTAAGGAGCAGCGTCCCGAGACAGAGCTGGAACCAGCTCGCGTTCTGACTGGTGGCTCATCAGCCCCGGGGCGAGAGAGAGAGGGCACCCACCTGTGCTACCCAAGAGAGGGAGACTGGACCACTTGCTTCCCCGTCTGCGGCTCAGCTCCCTGTCCCTTGGGGCTGTTGGAATCAGATCGCCCCTCCGTGACAGGAAACGGTCATTCCAAATTGGGACAGCGTCTCAGGAGTACCCACGGATTGCTTCCTTTTTCTTTAGGAAAGCACCCAGCCAACCGCAAATGTCTCCTGGGCCATATGCTTCCTTGTAGCTTAAGCAGTCCCGTCACTGCGGAAGAAGGCGATTTTAGGCTACGGGTGTCCCATAATCATAATAGTGAATAAAAAAGCGTTAGCCTTTCTTTGGAGAAATAAAAGCCGGGACATGGACTCTTGGTCTAAATGCTTCTACCGCATGCTGTTCATTGTATGACTGTCAAGCTGGCTGCCAGGCAATGAAAGGAGAACCGTCAAACTAATCTAGCCGGAGCTAAACCATAACACCCTATGGCAGAGATGGTGAACAGAGGTCTCCGAGTAATACCTGTAGCACTGTATTCACAACCTTTCCAAAAACTATTGTAGCTTCTGACCTCCCCAGCCGCATTGCTGGAAGACTTCTGCAGGATCTTCCACCAAGGCACCGAGGATAGGCTACACACCGGGTTATTTCTGGAGCGGGATATTCTAGGGCTACCGTGTTGATCTAAATAAGATTCGTGACATTAGTTTTCTGCTGTTTAGCTTTCTATGTGTCACTACACCCATTTAACTTCATCACCGTAGGGGAGCCTGCAGATGGCTGATGTAAAGGAGCTGGGTAGGGGTGCAGGCGTCTGGCAGAGTCCAGTGCAACAACAAAAATGGGAAACTATAAACAAGCAAGGTGCAAACAACTGAAAGTGAGAAAGAGACAGAGAAGAGGAAACAAAACAAAACAACAAAGTCAGCCTCCATGCAAAGAAATGATTAAAAGGCACTTACCAAACCGAAATTCAATGCTCTAGCTGAACTGACGTTCATACCTTTAACAGATAAGGGCATACAGTCAGCTGCCTAAGTCCAGATCAGTCTGTTCATATGACTAAAGTAAAGTTAGATCTGCCAGGAGAAGGCAATAAATCATTGTAATATGACAACTCAGGAGCTAGCTAGCCAGGGAACTACGAGCCGCATAGCTCCTTCCTCCCGTCTGAAAGCACTGGAACACAGACGCAAGGAGATAGATGCCTTGTCCCCCCTCCTCTCCCCCCCCCCCCAGGCTAAAGGAATTAGCTACTGAATTGGTAATAGACAATCGCTATTTTTCTTCCTTCCCTGCGCGATGACAGTTGTTTCCTAGACCTTTGGAAGCTCAAAGCCCGAGATAATGGGAATGATTCAAACAGACCGTACAGATTAATTTGAAATTCGCAGAGATCTGGGACGAGAGTCAGGGATCAGGGTGATTTTTCAAAGCCAAACTGATCCACTCTCGTTCCAAAGGGAGTGGTGGCTCGCTGGACACATTACATCTACTGTATTATTAAGAGTATACACCGTGTCTGGGAGACCATCCCTACAGGCACAGTGACGACAAGAAGCTAACACGTCGGAAGCATTGCAAGACGAACGCGCAATGAGTTTGTCTGTCAATAAACCCTTCAAATTGCAGACGTCTCTTTGGGCGTCTAGGTATAGACGGCATTGCCTGATCTTGGCAAACA